TATTAAAAAAAACAACGCTTAACAGTATTAATCTGTCCCATCATACACGATATCAACCAGTCGATGGCATCTTGTGGTATGCTGTCCCACTTCTCCAGCAAAACAGTCTTCACTTTCCCTAAGGATTTCAGTTGATACACATTCCTTTGGAGCTGATCTCACAAATATTCGATTGTAATGAAATAGTGTGATTGAATTGGTGACGAAAGCAATGTTTGACGGCGATGCGCCGGAAACTCGCCTACACCAAGGGAACGATGTACGGGTTCATTGATTTCCTGGATATTACCCCAGCAGTTGTGCTATACATCAACAAAACATGTCGGATCAGGACATGTAATTAAATTTCACCCCCACCCCTCTCTGGTGCCGTCCGAGTATGGTAGCTCGATCTGAACGCCAAACCAGAGGACGACTTGGACAAGCACTGAACCACCTTCCTGTTGGACTGTTGCTGACATCGAATTCCTAGAAGAATTTCTTCAACAACGCACCATGGCAGTTCGGGTTTCTGAATCACTTTCTGATCCCATTAGCGTAGCACGAAGAGGTCCACAGGGATCCGTGCGTCGCTCTCAACTTTTCCTTTTTTTATAAACGACCTAACGGACATTCTGGAGCCACAAACGTTAGTGTTTGCAGATGATGCAAAAATATGGAAAACGGGGACAAAAATAGAGGACTCGCTAGAACTTCAGAGAGCACTTAAGGCTGCTTATCAATGGTCGACCAAAAACGACATGGAATTTGATGCATCACAACGTACAATCGTATCCCTTTGCCACAAAATTCGGTTTCTGTATTTCCTGGTGGATTAACAACTTCCGTATGTATCAAATGAAAAGGATCTCGGTGTCATTGTTCAAGACGACCTAAGTTGTTCTTTAAACTGCTCTAGGGTGTCGTCCACCGCTGTAAGACATGCTGGTTTGCTAAAACGAGCATTTGGCAAATTTGAACCTAGGCTGTCCCCACAATTGTTATCCACCTACATTCAACCCCACATAGAGTACGCCATTCAAGCATGGAATCCATGGCTGTAGTGCTTTTGGAAGATTCTGGAACTCCCATAAAGAATGGCCACCCAAATGGTCCAGGGACTGCATTCCAAGAGTTATGCGTAAAGATGTCAATCACTGCAACTGTGCATCACACAGTATCGTAGCATTCGAGGGGACTCGATCTTGGTGTACCAAATAATGCAGGACCCACATCACCCATGTCGTTCACTCTGCCTTGTCGTCCAACACTCACCTGAGGGGAAACTCATTCAAATTAGTGCTCCAAAAAAGCCGACTAGAATGCCGGCGTCATTTAGTCGCCCTCAGAGTGTGCACTACTTGGAATTCCCTACCACCATTCGATGTTCCTTCAAGCACAAATTGGATGAGGCTTGACAAGTATTAAATTTCGACATCAGCAGCAGTGCACAAAACAAGGATAAATTGTGATATTCGTCTATTTTCTCTGAACCGTGAATTGATTCATCTGTGCTAAGGGACTATAAAAGCAACCGCTTGTAAGTATTTGCCATAATAAAACTTTGATTTTAACTTTAAGTGGCACAGATGTTTCCAAGCACTTTTCGGGCGATCCCCTTTAAGTGAAGAAACCGCTGATTCCTCGTCCCAATTGATCGATCTCCATTCTGTCTTCTTTGCCAAACACAAAAATGTCACCATTGACCACTATAGAAACGAAACGTTCGGGGACGTGCAGTCACTAAACAAATCGGATTATGTCTCACTGACATTGATAACTATTTTCGCCAATGCAGCATCTGTTTCACTTTATCTATGCCAAAAGACAGCAACCAAAAATGGCGCACGAAAGTGCATGGTTAATGGTTGTTCAAACTGATGCCTTCACCCAACACTGTTATGCGGTGATGTTGTTTGCTGTCTTTTGACTACCGGCTTGGATGAGGGAGTAGATAGAGGACTGGAATATTGGAAGCAGTCTCCATGTGGAGATAGACAACAGTTCAGGAACCAGAAATTTGCAAATGGATTAATCAAACGCCCGGATGCCACAGTTTTGCGACACTGAGACACAATGTGGACTAAGGCTTGATGGCGCGATGGGCTACCGAACGCTGCTGATACACGGAACGGGTTGCATTTTAGTACTCTAAATAAGCGCTTGTTTGTCCCAATTTCATCTTTGCGTGGACACCCGATCAATTGCTATCTTTGCTGATCATCTACGCTTCCAAATCGATGAATCAAGCAATTCACCAATCGCTTGAAAACATCTCATGGCATAGATTCCCTGATTGCCAAAGTTAAATTTCAAGACAAACACTTCCCCTAGGAGAAAATCATGAGAAATTAAAATTCTGGCTAAATAGATAGGTTGTTGAACTATAAAGTACCCGTTTGTCCGAATTTCACAACAAATCTCATGATGTCCGTTAATGCAATATGAGGAGATGATTGTGTCCGGGTAAAGTATAAACGTGTTTGGCTGACATTGTGATACCTTTGGGGTGACAAGTTATTTAGTATAGGCAGACACCGATGGTCAAAACTTAGCTCTAATTGATTGATTTCTTCCAAGCGCAACCACGGGGTCTCGAAATCGTGAAGTAAATCCAAACGGACCGCAACACCTTATCCACAACCTTCAAGTTTTAATGAAAGATCAAATCGATACCAAAGGTATTTCAGTTGAGTATATGCAACCTAAGTCTTGAATATGAATGAAGTCATCACCTTCATCACGTCACACAACTGCCAAAGTCAGAAAAGCAATGATAGATTCATAAATCAAAACAGGGTGCCCTAAAATTGCCATAAATTTTGCCTTTACTTAAGGGAAAACATAGCATATCAGTACATACATAGCGAAGCGTTCACATCGACCGTTGGTAGATCTGAGAGACTGTGTCGCAGACTTATGAAAGTGTTCTTATTTAACTATGGTTCGCCACAAAACCCTCCCTCATCATTCACATATTTGCCAAGTAGAAATAAGGGTTCTCATTGGCTTAGAAGATGTACAGGACGCTAAAAAGAAATACCGAGAAGTCGATTGTCTCATAGGTGAACTGTACGGATTGAATTGGTGGGAAGGAAAAACCATTTTGTATGACGACGTGTAGATTAATTTCGCTCGGTAAAACAATCAGATAGGAAGGATTAGGTGGGACGAAATTTGCTCGGTCAACCCTGTTCTGAGCACCATAGAGGTAAAGGTAATTTTCTCTTATAAAATAGGAAAAACAATGGATTGAACAGCATTAGCTCTCCCCCCGAAAAAAAACAACTATTACGGAGAGGGAGGGTCGTGGATATTCAACTAATCCGAGGACTTGACCTGGAGTAACTTTTCAAAGCTCTTTTGGGTACAGAACACGTAAGCGATGGGATAGAGGTGACGACTGAATTTCTCAGTTTAAGTCGCAATGGAAAACCACCAACCTCAAGATAGTAGACTCTAATTATATAGCAAGCCTTAGCTGAATAAAATAGGATTTTGGGGATCTTGACCACAGTGGAAGCGATCGGAATCCACCTACATAATCCCCCCAAGATACCCAAAGGATACTCGGTCTTCCATGGCCAGCATCACACACGACACAGCCATCCCTCCACCCACGCCTAATGACCCGAGTCAGTGCACTCGTGTGAGGACCAAAATGTGAGCAACATCAGGTCATGGAACTTGTCATGATTTCTCCCTCCTTCTTAACAGTTTGATATAAATTGTGATGTATTAGTCTGTAGAAGAATCACCGCAACCGACGTTGTTCGCTGCTTTGTGTTTTCTTAAAATGATTAACCATGGCATATTCGGACGATTGAATAAAATAGACAAAGCGGAGAACGACAATCGTAAAATACGATCTCAGTGGGAACCAAAGATGAAACGTTGTCGAGACCTTGAGCTCAATCCGAATTGGGCTTCAGTACCGTACTGTAAACATCAGTGTTGAATTTTAAAAAAAAATTAAAACTGCCAGTTGATAGATGAACAACTGCCATTTCAGAGTGAGGTTGTTGTTACCAAACGGAACGCGCAACAATACTGTGATTTCATTCAAGCAATCTCTTTGATGAATCCCCGTGTGTCCGGATCGATGAGCTTTGTATTTCTGTTGTTTGTTCTGGTCGCTTAACGACCCACCTTAACGACTCTATATCCATGCGATCACGCGAGTTGAGCTTCATTCCGTTCATTCACGTGATTGTACCCCCAATCGATCGGGAAAAGAGGTCATGCAATTTCAAGGTTAGAATAGAACTTTATTTGATGATCCAATTGCGGTGTTCAAGATTTCTGTAAACCACGTATGTCATCCTATCCCATCGTATAAAGTTTTTATTGCGAATAATAATAACCGTGACAACAATAATTATAATAATTATGGCCACACGGTATTACCCTGTGTGGCGTTCAGCTTACCTGTTGTAACTTTTTGACATCACGTTCAGCCTCCTGGTGCTCCTTTTCCACACGTGCCCGCACTACTTCGAGTTCGACACGTTCTGTTTGGAATGTGGCACACCGTTTGCGGGCAATTTCCGCTACGATGGGATCCATGGATGCCGAATATTCTATCAGAGAATAAAAAATGGGGTGATCTAGGTTGATACAATGGAATACAAAAATATTTTAACATAAGATTATGAGAGTATTGCATTCTGTTGTGTTGTATTGTATTGTATTGAAGCTTGAGCGAGTTATACACAAGCTTTCAGCCAAAAAATAGACCACCGTTTCAACTCTGGTAACAAAAAAAATGAAAAAAGAGATGAAAAAAGAGATGTGAAACGTACAAAAATCTAATTCAATTACTAAGTGTATTATAAAGCTCAGAACGAACACTTTCCTTGTCGGTCAGTATCCGGGTAATTAGGGTACCAAGGAGTTTCTGTATGCGGATATGCGAGACGGGTTAAGTTTGTTCAGGGAACGGATGGACGGGTGGGATTTGCATGCACACATGTCAATGTGTAGAGGATAGGTAGGATAGGATAGGATATTGTCAGCACGCATCAATATGGGCATTATACATATTGCCAATCAGAACAGATAACGGAGCTTAGGAGACACGGCCGTTCATTGAGAGGCCACGCCTCCACTACTTGAAATCAGCCTTCAGAAAACCAGGGAAAATTACAGGGAAGCAGTTGAACGTGATAAATTAGTGATAAATGTTGAGTGATGATGATGGTGATGATGAGTGACGAATTAGCGTGCCTAAATCCTCAAAACATTTCTATCGTGAATGAAATTTAATAAGTTGTGTACCGCTGGGTGATGAGTAAATAAAGTCCTGAAGGTGCTTGCAATATTCATCTGTTTTCTAATGTCTAAATATACGTCGGCCGGTTGATCGGTAACCAAGTGCACAATTTGTCAGCCCACGTTCAGAGACTCGATTAGCTGGAAGGATACCACATATTGTCTAAAACTTCTAACAGTATTCAAACGGTTGACATCGAGGCGTTCGGTAATAGTCAGATAAATCGACAGATAAGCAGCTCGCACCACACCGTACTATTTTTTTTCAAAAAATTATCTTTTCAGAATAGATTCCCACGTGTTTTCCTCCGAGACATTCCAGTGTACACACTAGAGTAACGAAAAGTAGAAGGGATGAGCTTGTATTTAGGACGATACACTTTTCTAGTATGCAAAAGTGCCATTTTAGAATCAGTATTTGGATTGGCAAACTACACTAAGTCTCATTCGGATAGGCATCGCTAGGTGACGGTGAGGCTGCTTACCATCAGAGTCGGACGTCGACGACAAGGTTCAAACCCAAAATCTTTGAACCCGAAGAGGCTACTGAGAACAGATTGTTGATCCGAGGGTTGGGGAGTTGGCTAAAACAATTGATTCCAAACCAAACAAAAAGAACATTACGAATCACACACACACACACACATCTTCCTGATTGCGGCAGTGATCACTGGCTCCATTGAGTGTTCCGGGTTAATTGGGCAACTTGGACGTTCGACCCCCCGCTCAGAAGCTTTGTGATCCGACGAAATTGGCATTGGCCAAACAAAAACCAACGAAGAGTTATATATAAATGCCACATCAGGTCGGAAGAAACGGATAAAGGGTGTTATTTTTCACCGTTAACGCGGGAAGTAGAGCAGAGCGGCAGAATCGGTGCAATAGAAGGTAAGCAAGCACAAATTTAAGAATAAGTCATTAGGGAACGCCCAGTTTCCTGATCCAGTATGCACCAAAAGGACACTCCTCGGATTTTTGTGAGAACCATTTTAATGTGAATCAGTTGATGAGGAAAGTTTATAGGTCAGAGCAGTACCACTATATTTACCAGAATCATATTTGGGCACAAAAGAGATCCGGGGGTCAGTTTTATGTCCGAATGGAATAGCACCACGTTTGTGGATGTTGATTACAAAGAAACACGGAGGAAACCAGCGATGAAGTTCAGTTAGTCTGTTTCGATGTGTTGTGTGCGTGGGGAGGGGGGGGTGAATATGGTAGGGCCAGGGAATGGATACTCAATAAACATATCATACACATAGCTGCCGACATGAA